GTGTCTCTCTGTGGTTGTCTTGTGTCTCTCTGTGGTTGTCTTGTGTCTCTTTGATGTTGTTTTGTGTCTCTCTGTAGTTGCCTTGTGTCTCTTTGATGTTGTTTTGTGTCTCTGCGATTAGTTTTTGTCTCTTTGATGTCATTGTGTGTCTCTGCGATCGTTAGATTGACTTTCCAACTAAATAAATGTCACAGTCACATCAAACAGAGGCTCTGGTCTATGTGCCTGGCTCAAGGACACTTCCACATGGGGACAGGAGGAGCTCGAGGGTTGAACCATCAACCCTTGTGATGTGTGGCATATTTGTTTTATAACAGGGGGATTAACAAGAAAGTTTAAAAAAGCTTTAGTTAGTTTTAGGTTAGAAATCCTCAGATTGTCGTCTGATGCATCAAAAGGTGTTTTTATTTTCAAAAAGATGAAATTTGTCACATTGAAGTCTTAAACTTTGGTAATGAACTCACCGTCACAATAAGAACAAAGCATCAAACAGTGAAGAACATGAAACACTGCAGTATGTAAATCGCTCAATAAATCTGATGTATTAATTAACACAAGTGACGTGAGTCTGTACACACGAGCGCGGCTTGTTCCGTTTTATTGGATGAGCTCCTGCAGCCTCCGCTAATTCTCTACGGACAATCAACTGTGTGAATGTTGAACCTCCTCCGAGCTGCTCTCAGGAAAACCAATTTAAAAGCAGTTGTTGGCAGAGCAGGAGCCGCCTCTCCATCACTGCCAGAGCAGCTTTATGAGCCGAGAGTCCAGCTGCAGGTGGAGGAGCATAAAAAGACAGCAACACTGCTGGAGATCTGGAAGCACTGCAGTCACTGTACGGCTGACAGGAGCGGCTGGTTAATGGTGGTAGTATTCAGACACGCGACTGCAGTCAAAGTACTGATACAACACTGGGAGAATACTCCACGACAAGTAAACTACAAGTTCCTGCAGAACCTCACTGAAGTAAAAGTATATAAATGTGATTAAAGTAAAAGTCTGTATGAATCAGTAGTTTTGGGAAAGCTTCTTTTTCTTCTCGTCCTCTACAGCAATGCCAGTTTAACTCTTCAGTGTGTTACAGTAAGTTAGAGTAAAATTTGAATCATCTTTTTCTTTCTGTCTTTTATAATTCAGCAATCGTTTCTGATCAATAACAAATTAGCGCAGCGATCAGCTCTGCTGTACCACTCCGTCACTGTGACGCCCGCATCCTTCAACAACAACCGCTGACTGTCATCTGCACTGATCTACGAGTCCTCAAGGATGTATAGTGTCCCCGTAATGTAAGACACACTCAGGTGTCCCCGTAATGTAAGACACACTCAGGTGTCCCCGTAATGTAAGACACAGTCAAGTGTCCCCGTAATGTAAGACACACTCAGGTGTCCCCGTAATGTGAGACACACTCAGGTGTCCCCGTAATGTGAGACACACTCAGGTGTCCCCGTAATGTGAGACACAGTCAAGTGACCCCGTAATGTATGACACACTCAGGTGTCCCCGTAATGTAAGACACACTCAGGTGTCCCCGTAATGTAAGACACAGTCAAGTGTCCCCGTAATGTAAGACACAGTCAAGTGTCCCCGTAATGTGAGACACACTCAGGTGTCCCCGTAATGTGAGACACACTCAGGTGTCCCCGTAATGTGAGACACACTCAGGTGTCCCCGTAATGTGAGACACACTCAGGTGTCCCCGTAATGTGAGACACACTCAGGTGTCCCCGTAATGTGAGACACACTCAAGTGTCCCCGTAATGTGAGACACAGTCAAGTGTCCCCGTAATGTAAGACAGTCAAGTGTCCCCGTAATGTAAGACACACTCAGGTGTCCCCGTAATGTAAGACACACTCAGGTGTCCCCGTAATGTAAGACACAGTCAAGTGTCCCCGTAATGTATGACACACTCAGGTGTCCCCGTAATGTAAGACACACTCAGGTGTCCCCGTAATGTAAGACACAGTCAAGTGTCCCCGTAATGTAAGACACAGTCAAGTGTCCCCGTAATGTAAGACACAGTCAAGTGTCCCCGTAATGTATGACACACTCAGGTGTCCCCGTAATGTAAGACACACTCAGGTCTTCCCGTAATGTATGACACACTCAGGTGTCCCCGTAATGTAAGACACACTCAGGTCTTCCCGCAATGTAAGACACAGTCAAGTGTCCCCGCAATGTATGACACAGTCAAGTGTCCCCGCAATGTATGACACAGTCAAGTGTCCCCGCAATGTAGGACACACTCAGGTGTCCACGTAATGTAGGACACACTCAGGTGTCCCCGTAATGTAGGACACACTTCTGTCAACTTACTCTGTCTGACAGGGTAGACCTGGTCTTTTCCCGGGTGGAGGATGCTGGGTAGTTTTGGCAAAGAAGGTGGAGCTGAGAGAATAAAACAGAGTTACATTGGTTAATGTCTGTACAGTAGTAGTAGTGGTAGTGATTAACCTATTATATCACCAGGCCTTGGCATGTAGTTGATGGGTAGTTGTAGTAGTGGTAGTAGTAGTAGTATTAGTAGTAGTAGTAGTGGTAGTGGTAGTAGTGGTGGTAGTAGCATTAGTAGTAGTGTAGTAGCATTAGTAGTAGTGGTG